AGTTGTCACCCATCTCCATTGCCATCAGAATGACACACAGCTCCTTGCTGAGCTGACCCCACCTCTCCACCACCTCCAGGGAACCAACAGCAGCTGCTCTGGGCCACCACCCCAGCCAGTGGCAGTGAACTGTCACTCCTGCCTCTTGGAGAGACCATCTGGACTGCAGGAAGAGATCAGCTCTGCCTCTCTGCAGGCTGCAGAAATCATCAGGAACACTTGGGCCATGCCCATTCCACGGGGCATGCACCCCAGGTCCTCTGTGCTGGGTGGGCAGTGTGGAACACAGATGGGTCTCCACAAGATGTGCCAATAGCCTCGGTCTCCTGAAGACCTAAGTCTCTCTCCCAGCTGCTCAGATCCACACCCTGCCAGGCAGGACTACCTCCTTAGGGTGCCCACCCTTTCTACAGGCAGGCCTGTGTATGACTGGCCAGGGCTGGGATAGAGGACACGGCAACGCCACACACAGGCTAACAGGCCAAGGAGCAGCAAGTGCCAGGCCCACCTGGGCTCCAGACCCAGCAGGCCTGGGGGTCCCTCAGCCTCCACCTCTGCTCTCCCTGGGGCTCAACCAGTCCAGGGCATGAGTGGGTCTCACTAAACACCAGTTGCCTGAATATTTGGGGAAAATAATGAAGTGTGGAATTAAAACAGAATTTTGTGAATTCTTACACTTAAATTCCTACTTTTTTTTTCTAAGCTCTGTCTGGATAAATCTAGATTCAGCCTACAAGTGAACTTCTGTATTAAGCCTCAAACAAAACTGAGAGATATTTATAAATAGATTTAAATAATATGGGAAAGCTCACACATGATTCGGTGCTGGTTCTATTTTTTTTTTAATGTATAAAATTAAATGTCTTAAGATCACAGTTTTAAGCTAATGAAAAGTGAGGCAGACAAACTATTCTGAGAAGGAAGTTTCCAGGGGGTCCTATACTGAACCAGTCCTAAACTTATACCCTCAACTCAGGTGTGTGCCAGGGGCTCTTGGGAAAGCCTTGGCAGCTAAAAGGTCCAGTGAAGAAGCTCTATCAGCCTGCCCTACCCAACCAGCCTGGAATAGCAGCCGCGTGTGACCTTGAAAGATGGGTTGGGGCTAGCCAGCAAAGGAAGAGGGACAGCATGTGCAAAGGCCCTAAGGCAAGAGAGACCCAAAGAATGTGGGAGTGGCTATAGCCAAGAAAGAATGCTAGAGACCCAGACAAGGGGGCGGGACGTCATCAGGACAGACAGATGCTGACTGGTTGGTGGTGGAGGAGAGCCTGGGGCAAGAGGTAGAGGTGTCTCAGAAGAAACTGAGCCAGTGAAGAGGAAGCTGGACATGCCTTGTTGTCCAGCTCTGGCTAGTCAGAAGCAAAGCCCAGGCCCTCCCCAGTACTCAGCTTTTTACCTCCTCACTGCCCAGGAGATCTCACCACACTGGATCCCAATCCCTGGAAGTTTTACTGAAAAAGCACATGGGTCTGTAGTGAGCAAGACACCCCTGCTAGAGGGGGCTCACCAAGGAAGAGGGACAGCATGTGCGAAGGCCCTAAGGCAAGAGAGACCCAGCAGGAAACACTCAGTCTCCAGCTTTTCTGGCCACCGATGGGCCTTCCAGACAGCTGGCAGACTGACCCCGCACAGCTCCCCATCCCAGGAGAATCCCATGAAATCAACTGGGACAGGGACTCACCACTGGGGCTCCAGAACCCAGGCCAGGCCTTCCCTCCTATACTGAATAGCTCCCTCCTTATAAGTTGGCTTGGCCACAGGCCCAGGCCACGGAGGTGGCTTCTGATCCTGCTCCCACACACCCTAGTTACACTTGATATGGTCCCACGCCTGAGGTTCTGCCTACTGCCTCCCCTCAGCTTAGTGCTTCTCCCAAGCTCTGCCCATCTTCAAACTTGCCCTTTCCCTATCCTGAGACATCCTCCCACTCAGGACTCACTGACAGTAGCAGAGCATGTCAGTGGGAGGTAATCCAGGTAATCCTGTGCAGGTTGACCTGGGACAGCCGTGGCCCTTTCAGCAGACACTTTCCACCCCGCAGAGACCCAGCCAACAAAACCCACTGCAGAATATCCCTGCAGATGATGTCCCCCTGTGACACATACCTCCCCGGCGTGCTCCCTGCATGGACCTGCAGCAAGACCAAGGGAGTCGGCCCACTTGCACCACAGGGCCTCTGACCCACAGCCTTGATGAGCCTAAGCCTCAACCTCTGGGGTGCCACACACTTCTGAGGGAGCAGAGTCTTCCTCCATATGAGAGACCACCCCTGCACTGGGTGTGGCTCAGATGGGCTCAGCCCAAGTCCAGAACACTGCTAGGTGGGCACCCTCCAGGGATCCTGGAGGCCCAGGACTCAGAGATTATCCCTCTGGGCCTATCCACCTTTCTGCCCCTACAGCCCAGTACTAGAATATCACCAAAACCAGAAGTCCGCCAGAAACTCATCTTGAGGGATGTTCTGGATCCCAACCACAAGACCCATCATGGGTTGAGAGAGGTCCCATGGTTCCCAAATATCTCAAGCTCGCCCTTTTCCCACTGTCTCTACTACCGGGTTTGGCCTGGCTACCACCTTTCTCACCTGAAGGAGCACCAGCTCCTCCATGTTCAAGCATGTTCAACCTGGTGCAGGGGTTAAATGGTGACACCCAAAAAATATGTTCATGTCCTTGGAATTTATAAATGTGACTGAATTTTGAAATATTTAAGCTAAAAATCTAGAGACAGGTCATCCTGGACTTCCTGGGTAGGCCCTTTCAAGTCCTCATGAAACGGAAAAGGAGAGGTAGAGACAGAAACTGGAATGATGTCGATATAGCCAAGGGATGGGGAAGCTGGACGAGCAAAGCAGGCTCTTCCCATGACTTCTGGTGGGAGGGAACCCTGCTGGCACCTGGATTTGGGACTTCGGACACCCAGATCAGTGAAAGGATAAATTTCTGTATATTAGACCATCTCGTTTTGGTAATTTGTTACAGACATCAGTACCAGGAACAGAGTGCTACCGTGACAAATACCTAAAAATGTGGACATGGCTTTGGAACTGGGAAATGAGCAGAGGCTGAAGAATTTTGAGGCACATGATAGAAAAAGCACAGATGGCCTGACCAAACTGTTGGCAAAATTTGGAGTGTAGAAAGCAGGTATCATGGCTTATGCCTGTAGTCCCAGCTACTGGGAAGGCTGAGACAGGAAGATTGCTTGTGTCCAGGAGTTTTAAGGCCAGCCTGGCCAACACAGCAAGAGACCCCATCCCAAAAAGAACAGAATATGGAAGTTAAAGATGTTGCTGGTGAGGCCTTAGAAGAAAATGAGGAATATAATCTTGGGCACTGGAAGACAGGTGATCCTTTTATACAGCGGCAAAAGCTGGCTGAGTTGTGCTCTATCTACTAGAACATGGAAGAACACGTAGAACATGTAAGCAATGAACATGGATATTTAGTTGAAGAGATTTCAAATCAGGCTGTGGTTTTGGCAGCTTATATTAAAGGGCAGGAAAAAGGCGATGAAATGAGGAAGAAACTGTTAAGGAAAAAGGAACCAGCACTGGTGATCTAGGAAATTCACAGCCTACTCAATGTGGAAGATGCTCACATTGGGAGATTTGCTGTCAGGACAGGGTGCCCTGGAGAGAAAGCCAGGGGTGTGACTGGATAGATTTCTGCTGAAGAGATGAAGACTGTGATTCATGGGTCTGGTCAACCATTTCAGCAGAGCCAGGAATAGAGATGATCCAAAAAAGACACAGTGAGCCCTCCTGTCTAGTGGCCTGGTTCCCTGTGACATTGAAGGGAGACCCACAGGTCTATGAAACTGCTGTGCCAGGAGCAACACTGCCAACTGGTTCTGACGGGTTCGGATGGGAGGAAATGGAGGTGGCATCGTTGCAAGATCCTATAGGCAGGAATGGGATGGTAGACAAATCAATTGCAAACATGCTACCCTTCAAGACAAGGCAGCAAAGTGGCCTCCATTCTTTTCCTGGTCCTGGGCCCCCTCCATCTCAGGGAAAAAGCAGTAAATGTCCCCACCAAGAGTTGTCTGCCCAACTGGGGGACCTTTCCATGCTAAACTATGACTCAACCTCCACAGAGACAAGAGACAGGGAAAAGGAGCGGGGAGCGGGCCCCGCAGGCTCAGGTCTCAAGTCATGCGGAGACCCGCAAAGTCTCCAACTAGCATCGACCCACCACAGCCTCATATGCAGCTCTCAGCAGCTCCAGTCTGATTACACCCTGAATAGTCTGGCTGGGCTTCCTGATGTCCTTTATCACCTGGTCCCAGGCACTGTCCTCACCTGCCGTCTCAACCCCACACCAGGCAGCCACCACCTGTTTCATCAGCCCCCTTCCTTCAGTGTGCCAGCAGCACCTCACAGTGTGGTTTTTGCCTCTGCTGCAGCCAAGGCTCCTTCCTGGCTGCCTCTTCTTGCCAGCCTGCAGGATCAGAGGGCCTCAGGCTCACAGCACCGGCCCCAAAGCACCACCCCCAGCCTGACTTCCCTAGCCTGGTCGGGCAGTTTGAGCATCTTGGCCTCTCCTTATGCCTCTCCTCTAGGTCTCACAGTCATCGCCAGTTTTAGACACCCAAAGCTGAACTCCTGTTCCTCTACCTTCCCTGATACACATGCCCCTTGGTCCCCAGGCTCCATTCTCCACAGCCACCAATGTGGTCTCTCCTCCGCAGCTTCTCTGGGGATACCCAAGAGTCTTTCCACCAGGTGGAATTCCTGCAGTATCCAGCCCAGAGTCTACCTGTCCCTCCCATGTACCACAGGGTACAGTTTGGCCCAACGGTGCAGCAAGACCCTGCTTTCAGGAAGCTGAGTTTGGTGGGAGAAGAGATATTTAAAATCTTCCTTGTTGCCCATGAACCCATCTCCAGACTCTGAAGATATGACACCCATAATCTCCTATATATCTCAGCCCGTAACAAATTCCAAGCAGGTTGAAGGTGGAGACATTAAGAAAAAAATTAACCCGTACTAGAAGAAATTCTTGACAGATGATTTTTATAAAGGAAAGCCATTCAAAACACACATAAAATCCAAAGGTCATAAAATAAATGACTGATGAATTTTAAAAATTGATCATGCCAGGCACAGTAAGAGCGTCTATAGTCCCAATTCTTCAGGAGGCTGAGGTGGGAGGATCACTTGAGGATAGGAGTTCAAGGCCACCTGGAGCATCAAGAGAGATCCTGTCTCAAATAAATAATCAATCAATCTAGCCAAAGACTCTATAATCAAAAGTAAACCAAAATTGATCCATGGTATGAGATGTCAGGATAGTGACTAGGAACACTCCCCCGACCCCGTACTGGGGATTGAACCAAATGTGCTTTACCACTGAGTCAAAACCCCAATCCTTTTTATTTTAAACAGGGTCTAAGTTGCTTAGGCTAGCCTCGAACATATGAACCTTCTGACTCAGCCTCCAGAGTTACCGCGACTACAGGTGTACACAACCACCCTTGCTCACAAGGGACCCCTTTAAGATCTAAAAAGCTATTTCATGAGCTGGATGCTGATCAAAAGGCATCAGTGGTGGCTGTGGCTCAGTGGTGGAGCACTTGCCTAGCATGTATGAGGCCCTGGGTTCGATCCTCAGCACTGCATATAAATACATAAAATAAAAGTCCATCTACAACTAAAAAAATACTTTTAAAAAAGGCAACTTTCCAATTTAAGATGTATATGCAAAATTTGTACACTTTTCTGTAGAAATGATATACTTCCATAAAAAAAATAACAAAATAAATGGCTAGGGTTGAGGCTCAGTGGGAGAGCACTTGCCTAGCAAGTGAGGCCCGGGTTGGATCCTTAGCACCACATATAAATAAATAAAATAAAGGTCCATTGACAAATAAAAATTTTTTTAAAAAAATTAAAATAAATAGGGTGCAGTGGCACATGCCTGTAATCTTAGCTACTCAGGAGACTGAGGTAGGAGGATTGAGAGTTTGAGACCAGCTTGGAAAACTTCGCAAGACCTTATTTCAAATGTCTATTTATTTTAATTTTATTTATTTATGAGCTTATTTTTGGTACTGGGTATCAAACCTAGGATGCTCTATGACTGAGCTATACACCTACCATTTTTATTTTTTATTTTGAAACACAGTCTTGCAAACTTCCCAGGCTGGCCTTGAACTTGTGATCTTCCTACCTCAGCCTCCTGAGTAGTTGGGATTACAAGTATGCTCCACCATACCTGGCTCAAAATAAAAATTTTAAAAAGGGCTAAGGATGTAGTTTAGTGGAGGAACACTTGCCTAGCATGCACTATTTAATTCCTAGTACTGAAAAAAAAGTAACAAATTGAGAAAATTTTGAAACATATATAACATCTAAGGAAGCCAATATTTTAAAAGGTCTCAAAAATTAAAAAGAAATTTTAAAAAATCTTACCTGAATAACATATTTGAACAGGCAAAACCCATAAAAGATGAAAAAGGGGCTGGGAATGTGGCTCAGTGGTAAAACACTTGCCTAGCATGTGTGAGGCCCAAAGTTTGATCCCCAGCACCACACACACATACAAATTCCATAACAGATGAAAAAAGAAATGATCAATTATTCTGTGAAATGATCCCACTTTTGTTCATAATCAAAGAATGCAAAACTTTTTTTAATAAATATTTTTAGTTGTTGATGGACCTTTATTTTAAATATTTATTTATTTATATGTGATGCTGAGAATGGAACCCAGCGCCTCACACACATGCTAGGCAAGTGCTCCACCACTAAGCTACAATCCCAGCCCCAAAGAATGCGAATTTTTAAAAAATTAGGCTGGGCACAGTGGTGCACGCCTATAATCCCAGCAGCTCAGGAAGCTGAGACAGGATCATGAGTTCAAAGCCAGCCTCAGCAACAAGGAGGCATTAAACAACTCAGTGAGACCCTGTCTCAAAATATATAAAATAGGGCTGGGGATGTGGCTCAGTTGTTGAGTGCCCCTGAGTTCAATTCCCGGCACTAAAAAATAAATAAAAAAGAAAAATTAGATTTTTTTCATTAGTCAGATAAGCAAGTGACTAAAGAAAGTCTGCCGTCTATCTGTTGGACTCACCTATACTGCACAACTTGGTAGCTGGATGCAGTGGCACTCTCCCTTAATCCCAGCTACTCAGGAGACTGAAGTAGAAAGATCAAGGGGTAGAAACCAGCCTGGGCAACTTAGAAAGATGCTGTTTCAAAAACTTTAAAAAAAGGATGGAGAGGCAGCTCAGAACACTTGCCTGGCATGGATGAGGCCCTAGGATTAATCCCTAGTATAGCAGAAAATAAAAGATGTACACTGAGCTTTTTGTTGTTTTTTTTTTTTTTTCTTTTTTCTTTCTTTTTTGGTACTGGGGATTGAACTAAGGGGCACTTGACCACTGAGCCACATCTCCAATCCTATTTTGTATTTTACTTAGAAACAAGGTCTCACTGAGTTGCTCAGTGCCTCACTTTTGCTGAGGCTGGCTTTGAACACGAGATCCTCCTGTCTCAGCCTCCTGAGCCACTGGGATTACATAAGTACACTGTTTTAAAACCATAAATCCAATGTCCATCTGAACCGGTCAAATAAATAAAATGTGGTACTTTCATGTAATGGAATATTTTGTAGCCATGAAAGCATGAGGCTACCAACACTATTCAACATGAGAAGAATCTTTTCAACAAATGGTGCTGGGACCACTGGATATACACACATACAAAAGAATGAAGTTGGACCTCTATCTTTCATCATACACAAAATTAACTCAAAATAGATCAAAGACTTTCATATAAAACATAAAACTATAAAACTTGTTTTTTTGTATATATTAAGGTACATCACCAGCATTAAAAAAAAAAAAAAATGTGTATTTTGCCAAGTGCAGTGGCTCACACTTGTAATCCCAGCAACTCAGGAGGCTGAGATAGGAGGATCACAAATTCAAAGCCAGCCTCAGAAATAAACAAGGCCCTAAGCCACTTAGTGAGACCCTATCTCTAAATTTAAAAATAAACAAAATGGGCTAAGGAAGTTTCAGTGGTTAAGCACCCCTGGGTCCAAACCAAGGTACCAAAACTAAAACAAACAAAAACAAGACATCTTTGGGGTAAGATATGGCTCCGTGGCTAAGTACCCAGGGTTCAATCCCCAGTACCCCCCCCAAAAAAATTGCTTATTTTATTTTTTATTTTGAGACAGGATCTCACTAAGTTGACAACCCTGGATTTAAACTTGTGATCCTCCTGCCTCAGGCTCCTGAGCTGCTGGGATTACAAGTGTGCATCACTGCACCCATCTTATAAAACTCTTAAAAGAAAACAGGCATAAATCTGTGTGACTCTGATTTCTGTATATGACATACCAAATGCACAAGCAACTAAGAAAAAAGAGAGAAATCAAACTCATAATAATTTAAACTTCAAACTGGGCATGGTGGCACACATCTATAAACCAGGCAACTCTGGACACTGAGGCAGAGGATACCAAGTTCAAGGTTGGTCTCAGCCACTTAGCAAAATCCTGCCTCAAAATAAAAAATGAAAAGGGGCTGAGGATGTAGCTCAGTGGCAGAGCTCCCCTGGATTCAAGCCCCAGTACAGAGGGAAGGAAAATGAAAACCAATACAGTCACAGAAGATTTTTACAACTCATATGGCTGAAAAGGGACCTATATACAGAGTATAAAAAGGACACAGCTTAAAAGCTAAAACAAAAAAGCCCAACTTAAAAATGGATGAATGAGCTAGGGCTGGGGCTCAGTGGCAGAGCATGCCTAGCATGTGTGAGGCTCTGGTTTGATTCTCAGTACCATATATAAATAATAAATAAAATTGGGGCTGAGGTTGTGGCTCAGCGGCAGAGCGCTTGCTTTGCATGTGCTGGGTTTGATCCTCAGAACCACATAAAAATAAATAAAATAAGTGTAAAGTGTATGGTGTCCAATACAATTAAAAACTAAATATTTAAATAATAATAATAATAATAATAAATAGAATAAAGGTCCATAAACAACTGAAAAAATATTTTTTAAAAATGGATGAATGATCCAAATAAACATTTTTCAAAAGACAAACAAGTGACCAAAAGGCATATGAAAAAGTATCCAACATCATTAGCTATCAGAAAATGCAAATCATGGGGGCTGGGGCTATAGCTCAGTGGCAGAGCGCTTGCCTAGCATGTGTGAGGCACTGGGTTCAGGTCTCAACACCCCATAAAATAAATAAATAAAGGTATTGTGTCCATCTACAACTAAAAAAAATTTTTTTTAAAAAAAGAAAATGCAAATCAAAATCACAATGAAATATCACTTCACACCCACTAGGACTGAAGGACTATAATCAAAAAGCCAGATAATAACAAGAGTTGACAAGGTCGTGAAGAAGAAACTTCGTACACTGGTCTTGGGAATGCAGAATACTGCCACCACTTTGGAAAACAATCTGGCAGTTCTTCAAATGGTTAAATATAGAGTTACCACACAACCCAGCAATTCTACTCTTAGGTATCTACCCAAGAGAAATAAGAACATACATCCACACAAAAACTTATATGCAAATAGTTGCATTATTCATAACAACCAAAAGATGGAAACAACTCAAATATCCATCCACTAATAAATATATAACCAAGTTGGTATATTCATAACATGGAATATTATGCCACATAAAAAGGAATTAAGTACTGATGTACATATGCCATGATAAACCCTTAAAATATTACCCTGATGGGCTGGGGTTGGGGCTCAGTGGTAGGGCACTTGCCTAGCATGTGTGAGGCAACTGGGTTCAATTCTCAGCACTGCACATAAAAATAAATTAATTAAAGGTCTATCAACAAATTTTAAAAAAAATTTTTTAAAAATTACTCTGAGTCAAAGAAGTCAGACACAAAATGGTATGATTCCATTTATATGAAATGTTCAATCTGGGACAATCCTTTAGGACAAAGTAGATCAGTGTTGCCAGGGGCTGGGTGAAAAAAATGTTCTGGAATTGATTGTGATGATGGCTGCACAACTCTGTGAATGTACTAAAAGCCACTGAACAGTACAGTTTTTTTTGTTTTTGTTTTTTTCTTTTCTGCTGTGCTGGGGATCAAACCCAGGATCTCATCCATGCCAGATAAACACTATACCACTGAGCCACATCCCCAGATCAAGTTGTGACACTTTAAATGGGTGAACTGTATGCATATGAATTACATCTCAATAAATCTGCTATTAAAAACATAATAAGCATGAGGTTGACCTAATCAGGGCTGACATGAAAAGCCAGCAGATCCAGAGGGAATCACATTGGAACTGGCAATCTTGCTTTTCTCATTCATCCACAGAGGGGAGCAGAGGTGTGACCATCACCACTTTGAGACAGGAGGGGAGCAGAGGTGTGACCATCACCACTTTTCTTTTTTTTTAATATTTATTATTATTTATTTTTTTTTAGGTGTAGATGGACACAACACAATGCCGTTATTTTTATGTGGTGCTGAGGATCGAACCCGGGTCTCACTCGTGCTAGGCAGCGCTCTACCGCTGAGTCACAACCCCAGCCCACCCATCACCACTTTTCTTTGGATAGCTCCACTGAACTTAACTTTTGTTTATTTTTTTAGCATGACTTTTGACAATAATCACAGATCAAAAGCCTCTCAGAAGGCCCCCAAACAACTGCCAGCCTCTACTCTGCCAGCTGAGCTCTAGCCACTGCAGACAACACCCTTTGCCATTACCATTCTTTCGTGCAAGCACCCTGCAAACGCTGGCTGGGGGCCCCAGGGACACAGATCACCAAGCTCAGAGTTCAGCACAGGAGGGGGCAGAGATGTGAGGACAATGCCATCACAATGACAGTGCAGGAAAGTGGGGAAACCCTCCACCAGCTGGGTCTGCCTGCAGACATGCTGACACTCCACCTAGCCCCTTTCCAACCCACCTTCTTCCCAGTCCAGAGAGGGCTCCCAGGTGGGTACCTCCTGCAGGTTCCCCGATCCCACCCACTCACCAACAATACTCTCCCCTGCTCTCTCCTCTCACACAAATCGTCCCCTCCAGGACCCTCTTGGCAGCATCATCAGCACCCATCCTTTAGTCCATGCTGTCTCAGATGTCACAAAGCTCCCATTCCCGATAGGACAGCCTTGAAGTCTCTACCCATGGCTGCCCAGACCTCCCAGATGGCCTCACTCCCCAACCCCTATCCTGCAGCCTGTGCCAGGGCCCCACTGACTGGTCACTGCCCCTATGGTGTGCAGCACTGCTAAGGAGCTCCAACTGTTCCTTCTTCAACAAACATTCCCTCCTCCATTCAGCTGTGTCACCTCAGCTCCCGCTCAGACCCTGCCTGGCCTTCCCGCTCTACCACAGGTCTCTCCAGGCTCCCAAGGCACAGCAGGGTGGCCCAGCCTTTGTGAGCTGTCACACACCAGGCTTGGGGGACCAGGGTCAAGACACCCCTCATAGCTAACTGGCTGGCTAGTCCACAGCCTTGAAGCAAGGGAGGTCTCCTCCCCTGGGGCACCTGAGCTCTGTCTCACCATGAGCCCCAGTGGTCTCAGTCCCATAGGAATCCACCCTGGATAGAAGACAGGGAGGATGGGGCAGGCTGAGGGGCTCAGGCAGAGAGAAAGTTGAAAATGTTTTAGGAGGTACAGTAACCCTGCAGGGAAGACCAGGGGTTTCCAGGGGGAAAGCCAGGAATGACCTATCCTGGGAAGGCCTGAGAAGTTGTGTGGGGGCTGAAGGTCAATGGGGTGAGAGTCAGAAAAGGAAGGTGGAGTCTGTCAAAGGAGTGGCTGGGCTTTATGCCAGAGGGGGAGGAAGCCAGGAGTCAGAGGCTGGCACCCTTCCTCAGCTCAGGCATGGGCTGGATAGGGGTCCCTCAGAGCAGGTGAGTGATCTCCCTCCCCCTCCTCAGGGCAAGCTGGAGTGGTGCTGGGCCCAGGAGAGGGGTACTCCTGCTTCCGCTTCCTGCTGCTGCTCAGTGGCTGACATCAGGCAAATACCCTCTACCTCCCTCACTGGGAACAGTCTCCCCAGACCACTCCACCCCAGGAACAGCATGTGGTAGGGGCTTCAGCCCTCCAGCAGCCCAGTCAGGTCTGGGAGAGGAATGGGGCACACAGCTATTCCTTGGCCTTGGGCTACAGCTCCCAGCTTCTCACTCATCCCCTCCCTGGAGCCAGAGCTGAAGGGACTCCGTGCTTGGTATGTCCCAGAAGTTCTCTTGACCCTCAGCTCAAGGAGCCCCTAGCACCTGCTCTCCTGCCTAGCAACTCTCAGCTACTCTCGGGATGGTGCCACACACGCGCAGGGAGCTGCATTATCACATGACAAGTCCACTGCAGGCAGGCACCCTCGGTTCACCAGCCCAAGCCAGGCAAGAGCCCCAACAGCCCTCTCATCGGCCTCCAGACTAGAAGGCAGACACAAGCCAAGACACCCCAGTGTGTCCAACATCAGCTTGTCTACTGAGGTAGCTAGGCTGGATGAAGGCACCGAGACACGATCCCAGGAACCTCCAGGGATCTGTCAGGACACTCCTAGACTAACAGAACACTCTCACTCCAGGGGAAACACAGCTCCTCAGGAAGGCCAGGGGAGCTTCAGCAAGATGTCTAGAACAGGACTGGGGTTGTGGCTCAGAGGTAGAGCGCTTGCCTAGCATGTGTGAAGAACTGGGTTTGATTCTCAGCACTGCATATAAATAAGTGAATAAAATAAAGGTTCATCAACAACTAAAAATACATATAAAAACTAAAAAAGAAGAAGAGGAAGAAAAAGAACCCACCTTGACCCTCCCCAGCTCGAGGATAGACTCTGGCAATGCAGCAGCTCAGCAAACTGACCAGACCAAGGATTCTGGAGGGAAGCACTAATCTACATAAGTAGCCCCTGGTAAACAGAATTTACCCAGAGGACTATGGCCCAAGCAGGCTGCCATTCTCTGCCTTGCATCTGTTGAGGTAGACCCTTCAAGATAAGGTCAGCCATGCAGGAATGAGCATCAGGCCAGCCCCCGACCCAAGGCCTCCACAGGGGTGCAATGGTCAGGAATCCACTAAACCAGAAATGTCACAACTGAGCCCAGGTTAACTGGCCACACAGGCTAAAGGGTTAGTTATAGTACTGGCAGAGGCCCACAGAGCACACCCACAGGGCTCAGAGCATTCTGAAACCTACCCTGTGTGAGGTCTGAAGTGGAAAGTGGCACCACAGGACTCCAGGCAAAGCCCCAGCAGGACCTCTTTCCCTGAGCTGCCCTTGCAGGCAGAGCCAGCAAAAATACCAGTGTGGAGCTGAAACCAGCTCTGCTCAGTTCTGCCTGGGGACCCCATCTCAACACTCCCCAGCCTCTGTGGCTAAGAGCCAGGGCTGGGTCCACTTCTGCTCAGAATTAGGTGATCCAATCCAGAGCCAGGCAGCTGGGCTTTGACTGGTTGACAGCAGTGAGGGCCTGGGCAGGTCCAGAAGCTCCAGGAGGGCATGAAGCAGGGCAAGGGGGTCTGTGGCCACAGAGCTGGTGGCTACTCTGATGTTCCTCTGGAGAGGAAGGAGGGGCTGCCCCCAAGGGACAGGTGCAAACCAGGGCCTGGCCAGTTTGGGGAAGTGAGGAGAGGCGGCAGCTATGCAACCCACTGCCAGGCAGCAGCAGCAGTCACCTCACCCAAGGGAAAGGCGCTCCAGAGGGGCAGGGGATGGCTTAGCTTTGACCCACGTGTTGCTGGCCACAGACTATGGACACTGGCCCAGACGGCCGCACCTTGAAAAAGCCTGTGGGCCACAACCGGCGCTGGGCCCACCCCACCCACCCGTACGCTGGATGCCCTATTAAGGGCATGGCCGCGGGGGCTCAGTGCAGCGCTGCCCACCTCTTCCCTGGGCGCCCAGGGACACGGGTTGAGCCACACTGGTGAGACCAGATGGTGGCAGGGTTCGCACCGGGCCACAGTCCGGATGGCGGTGGCAGACAAGGTGGTCAGTGACCGGCTGCTGGGCTGGCCGCCCCAGGCACCGCTGAGCGAGCGGTGGCGCACTCAGAGGGTGGGCGGAGGCCCCTGGCGCCGTACCTTTGTACTTCTCCCGCACCTCCTCGTAAGCCTGGACGAAGTCCTGCTCGTCGGGTGGCGGGCCGGACGTCAGCAGGGCAGCCATGCCGGCTGGCGCGAGAGGCGGTGGGGCGCTGAGCGCAGGGACAGCCTCCAGCCAGGGCCGCCGCACTGCCCCTGCCGCCCCGCGCACCGCTTAAAGAGGCCGCCCCCGCCCCGCCCCGCACCCAGGATGCCCCACGGGCGGGGCGGGGCCGCGGGACTGCCCGGGGAGCTACGCCTGCCCCTGGGCGCTGCTCAGCGGGCTCCGAGTTTCGGTCCCACGCGGGTCCCGCGGGCGCACGCCCCTTCCCGCTCCAGACCGGGATGCGGCCCTCCCGCAGCTCTGATTCTCCTGGGTCCCAGGTCAGCGTCCTCCAGCTCCCTGGCCCCAGCCAGTGCGACCTCACTGGGCCGCCCGCGCGCTCCCCTTCCCCCCCTTTGCCTTTACTTAGAATTCTTCCATTGCAATATTGGAGATAGAGTTGATATCTCTGGTAGGCAAAGAGTCCTTTAAACTCAAGTAAAAAAAAAAATCTGTACATAAGATGACAAGAGTAAACGATTTACAGAGTAAAAAAGAAAGCTTGGTAATAAATGATAGCACAATTCCTTTCCACCCATCAGACTGGCAAGGCCCTCTGTCTCCCCACATTGACAGATGGCTTTCTGGACCACTCCTGGCAGTGTTTCTCCTAACGTTAAATCCTGTGAGCCCTGTGAGCAGAAGTCCCTCTTCTAGGAATCAATCCTGAGAAAATAATCAGAGGAAAACACAAAGATCCTGCCAGGGGTGCTGGCTAGAGCATAGCTAGCAGATGAATGCCAAAGACCACCATAAGTGGCTGCTAAGATGCAGCCCCCACCCCTTTGCATCATTACAGGTCCATGGGGAGGACATTCATGATTCTCTTTCAAGTGGGAAAAAAATGACCTCAATTAAAATTCTACATGAGGGCTGGGGATATAGCTCACATGCACAAGGCCCTGGGTTCAATCCCCCAGCACCACACACACACACACACACACACACACACAAAATCCTACATGAAATGAGAAAGATCATAGGTTCCTGCACAAGCACATGACCCCGGGGGGCAGGGGGCAGGGTAGCAAGAGCATGTCCATTACTCTTCTCTGCTCCTATTTCCACAAGCTGTTGCTTCACTTCCAACAGCAAACTTCCTCGATGCCTGCAGCATCACCTCCCCACTGGGCAGCTGGCTTTCCAGTCTTCTCCCTCACACCTTGGTCTACCTTCCTGGCCTCCTGGACCTACCATGCCTTTCATATGCTGCATAAGCCCCTGAGGGTCCTAGTGGATGGAATACCCTCCGTACTCCCTTGCTTGATATATTCTGCCCAATGGCCTCCAGCCCTAGGTGACTTACTTCCCAAAGGGATAGACTGCCTGCCAACCTCCCCTGGCCTTCTTGCTGGATTTTTCTCATCTTCCTCCTCAGACTGGTAGGCAAAGCTGGACTCTGGCTGACCAGGTATCTCCTCTTGTTCTACTTCCATGCGCTACTGGGTGTCAGCCAAAACCGGGGGGCATGGTGAGCAGTTTAGCTCCAGGACCCCAAGGAATTATCACCATCACATCTGGACCCTTGTTATGAAGCCAGAGATGGTAGGGCTGTATGTAGCAAGAAGTCCTGCCTTAGGCTTGTGCAGCTACCTGTGGGGCCAGCAGGTGGCGCCGTACTACCTGCACTCACCTGGAACAAGAGAAGCCCTCCCTAACAACAGTTTTCCTTTGGCCTTTCATCCAATCAATCCAAACACCTGCACACAGCACACAGCAGGTGCTCAATCAACAGGCCTGTGTTAACGAGCTGGGCCGACCAGGTACTTCTACGTTACCTGCAATGCGGATGACAGCCCGCTCTGCAGGGTCCAAGACACTGCCGTTGCCCCCAGAGCCACCTCCGCTCCTCCTGCTCCTCTGTGTTTTACCAAGGTTCCAGGGTAGTGTGTCCCCAGGGCTAGGTGAACCACTGCCTCCATTGGAGCTCCCTTCAGACACTGCTCGAACTTCAGAATCCTCTCCAGACATGGCCTCCTGGAGAAAGAACAGGGGAGCAGTCACACTTCTGCCTGCAGAAGAGAGGCAGACACTGCACACTGACCCATCACCTCCTTAAACTAAACGTTGACCCCAACCACCCATCAACAAAGACACCACATCCTTCCTATGACCCTGCCTTACCTACATACCAACTCCTTCCTCTCTACCAGTCCTTGACGTCTCATTCACATCTAGCCTCACCCCCTCCAGCCCACTTCTCAGATACCCAAACAGTGACCCCCACACACATTGATCTCAACTCCTCCAGTGCACTACCAGGACTACCCGGTTCACTTCCTTCTCCTAGTCACACAATCACTGAACCTTCTACTCCACCCTCATCACAGGACATTGATTCCACCTTCTACCCTGTTAAACATGAGGGGAGGGAGTGACTACCTTCACTCAGGCACTGACAGCAGACTCCCCACCCTGTCACTGGACAATGATCTCCACCAGCTGCATCCCAACTCGTTTCCCTCCCCCAATCTCCCATTAGCCATCAACAAACATTGGCCCCAGGCTCCTACTTGTCCTGGCTTCAGGGGAGGACTTCCAGACCTACCACGGGATGCTGGCACACTACCTCCAAGCTGTCTTTAGGACTCCGCATCACGCCATCCCACCCCACCTCCAGCCCTGCACAGTCCCACCTAGATCTCGGATCTCCGCAGCGAAGGCCTATAAATAACTGAAGCCGCAGCGGCGTGGGCCGCCGAAGCTCCACTGCGGCAAGACTGGGGGGTGGGGTGGGTGTTGGAGTAGCGGGGCGCCGCTCCTGCAGCCCACCCTGCTCACTGTAGGCGCAGCGGGAGTGCACGCATACCACGCGTGCACACGCCCCAGCTCCCATCCACAAGACTGACGTGTGAGAGGTGAATGGGGCTCTGTCTCGGCAGGGGAGGGGTGGGGTGGGGGCACAATGTGGGCTCTGTGCCTCCGCCCTTAAGCTAAGGGCGGGGAGAAGACTGCGGGCACCGAGCCGGGGGCGGGGTGCCCCCGCCCCCCGCGCCAGCCCCCAGCCCAGAGGTCCGCGGCAGCCAAAGCCTCCGCAGCAGCGTTTCCTACCCACGCTCCCCGCACCGCCGGTCCAGTTCCGCAAACTCCCGCGCGCTGGGAGGTGGTGTCTTCCGCGATAGCGCAGGTTGAGCTGCAACACAGCCCCTAGTTCCGGGAGACATTCGGCCAAGACCCCGCCCGCCCCAAATCCTCAACTCCCGCACGCTACGCGCCTCTCCATCCCCGCCCGGTCCTACGTGCCTAGTGGCTCCGCTGGGCTCAGCTCGGCCGCCGCAGCCAGACTGCTGGGGCCGACAGAGCCGTGGGGGCAGCGCGGGCGGGGCGAGGCTGGAGCCCCGCCCTGGCCCCCGAATGAGAACAGAGCTGCGCGGGCACCGTCAAGAGCTGGCAAGCGAGGCCAGCGTGACCGGGATCCGCGCGCGCGAGGCCGGGGCGGGTCACCGAGGCCGAGGAACCCGAGCCTGCGGATGCGCCGGCAACGTGCTCACTGTGCGTGCAGGGCGTGCAGGTCGGCTAGGAGACGCTCCTGGGCGAGCGTGAGCGACTCTCGGGCGGCGTGGGGTTCGAGTGCTCAGGGCTCCGCCCTGCAGCTTCAGTGGGTTTCCCAACAGCTGCCCCCCAGGAGCGTTCGGCCCCACCCCTGGCTACGCGGAGACCCCCACTCTCCAGAGGTCTGATTCCGAACGCCAGGAGGTTCTGCCTGGTTTCACGTTTATTCAGAGACACAGAAGCGCTCAGACGAGGTCCAGCCAAGACGGGCGTGTCAGGCCGGCGCACCCTCCTGCTGGGCTTTGCTGACCCCTGGTGGTTGGGCCGACCCAGCCCTCCGGGTCGGCCTGGATTCCTGCTCCCCAACAAGAAGCAGGAACGTCCCCAGGGAGGAAAGGGGGGTTTGTAGAACGGGGAACCTGTAGAGCAGCAGGCCACAGGCTAACCCCTTGGGTCAGGTGGCCAGAGAGGGACTCGAGAGTCCAAGGGAAGCCCGGGGTATGTGCTCGCAGGTGATGAGATGAGTGGGCAGCGCCTGAGTGTCGTGGAAGATGACAAAGATGCTGGGCTGATGGAGGCAATCCACAGCACTGTCGTAGCGCAGGAGCACATGGCCAGAGGGCCGCAGAGGGGGTGCCCGCAGATCGCGGCGGCCCTGCGCATAGTCTCCCGTCAGCACCCGTGCCACAAACACCGCCTTGTGGCCGTCAGCATCGGGAGGCGAGTAGCGGTCCTGCACGGATAGGGAGGCGCGCTTGGCGAAGTACACACCCTGCCCGTAGAGCGTTCCTGCAAGGCGGAAGCGGCAGAGGTCAGAGTGATGGGGGTTGACGGAGCCCCAGCCCTGCCCAGCCTAGGCCTAACCGTTGCGGCCGCAGAAGCTGCGGTTAAAACCGAACGCGCAGATGTCCGGCACTGCGGAGGCCGATGTGCCATGGTACAGGACCCGCTCCACAGGGCGCTGCACGCAGCGTTCCTCAAGGCGCTCCAGGTGCAGCTGGTACTGCTGCTGCAGCAGCGGGTGCGACACACGCTCCACCTATCAGGTGAGAGATGGTCAGAGCCAGGCTATTTGCAGTTATTTCCTATGCCTGTGGGTTGGCCCAGGAAAAGCTGAGGTCAGCAATCAGGAGCCCCTTGGTGGAAAATTTAGGGGGAGACCTTGCAGCCCCCTCATTCTCTGTCCAGCCACAGACATAAACTACCTCCATTAGGGAGCAAGTGGCATCCCAGGACTTCTAGGAAGGCCTGACACCTCCAGGGAGGTCTAACTCCTGCAGAGAGGTCTGCAGGTGGACAAACTCCACAGGATCACCTGAACGCAGGACGCACAGCCAGACCTCTGGAGCATAAAACCTAGCCAGGTGCCTACACTGCCCTCAGCAGTACTCCCAACGTTCAGATGCCACAGCCCTCTCAGTTCTAGAAGACCCAGGCAGGAGAGAAGGCCTGAAGTGACCAAGCCCTAAAGTAACAAACTCAAGGACCCAAATACAGCTTTTAAAGAAACTCTAATTAGTTGCTTCAGAGGCGATCAAAACAATACTACATTCATAAAACAAGACTAGATGCTAAAAAAAAAAAAGTCTAAAAATAAGAAATAGTTCTTACATTAAGAATGAGGTTGCTGGGCTGAAGATGCAGCTCAGTAGAACAGCACTGGCCTAGCATGTGGGAGGCCCTGGGTTGGATCCCCTAGCATGAAGAAGGAGGCCAAGAACACGAATGCTGAGCTAACTTCTGTGGGTGGGCCAGATAATGGAATGGTTAGAGCTAAAGATCCAGCTAGAGGATCTACATGGAAATAAGTAATTGATGCAGAGAGCAGAGCTAAAGGAAAAGAAGGAAACAACACACGGGGAGCGAGGCAAGTGGAAGAGGTCTAAGTTCTGCCTCTCAGGAGCTCCAGGAAAAGACAACAGGCAAGAGTGGGGGCTCCTGGGAACACAATGGAAGACGAGCAGAAAGGTAACATCTCCAGATGGGAGGACCCATGAAATGCTAGGAAGGACAATGTGAAGGACATATTCCTGGCACCTGACAGGAAAATCTTACCCTTGAAGTGAAGAAAACTTATCAAATGTATACACCCACACCCCACCCACCCACACACCCACTATCAAGGTTAATGTACAAATGGGAAGAAATCTCACATTGAGTATCTCACCAATGCTGGATACTAAGAAACCATGGAGATATTTATGTTTTTAAGTTTGTAGGGTAAAAGAATCTTAAAATTTAAAAAAGAGCAAAGTCTTCAAAAGTCTGAGGGCAAATATCTTTTGAACCTGAACAGTGTATCCCAGCAAAATTATTAATGAAGAATGTAGAAATAAAGACAAGTTAGAACATTTAACAACATAGAAAGTTTATATCAACTCAAATTAGAATTGTAAAATACCTCTAATTATAAAAGTTATTTTTAAACTTAAAAGTCAAAATGTTCACTATCCACTCAGAGATATTCCTTACTCAAGAACAGAATTCACACAAGAGGGTATCAAGCCAGACTCGGAGGTGCACACCTGTAATCCCAGCGGCTCTGAAGGCTGAGGCAGGAGGATCACAAGTTTAAAGCCAGCCTCAGCAAAAGCGAGGCTCTAAGCAACTCAGTGAGACCCTGTCTCTAAATAAAATTCAAAATAGGGCTGGGGATGTGGCACAGGAGTCGAGTGCCCTGAGTTCAATCCCTGGTACCCCTTCCTCCAAAAAGAGGGTATTGAGGAGGCACAAAGTACCCTAGCAGCCAAGCACAACCAAGAAAAAAAATGAAGTAAAAAAATCACAAGATAAGCTTAGAACACTTTCTTTCATGCAGTAGTTTTAATAATAGGATTTCATTTACTTTACTTACTATGGTTCTATTTTTTATAACTATAGTGGTAGGATGGTGGTGGTGGTGGGATAGTGGTGATTGTGGTGATTGTACTAGTGGAATGCTGTTGGTGGTGACAGTGATGGTGGTAACTGTCACCAGTGGGATGGTGGTGGTGGTGATGGTGGTGGTGGTAATGGTGATGGAAGTGGGTAAGTAGGTCAGGTTGTAGGTGACTTCCCCAACCTTGGGGAAGACCAGAGGTTCTGCATTTATGACCAGCTCTAGGTGGAGGCTGCTGCTGCTGGCTGTACCCATAACTGAGCATCAAGAGGGGAGAACTCTCTGCCCAGGCTTACCAGCACAGTGACTCAAGCTCTCCTCTGTCCTTCTCATCTGTCTATGGCCAGCCCTCTCTTGGATTCATCCCTCAGTTATGAGCACACTGTTTTCTGGATCAGAAACTTCTTCAACCCTGGACTTCTTCTATGTACTTCTATCTCTATCCTTCTCCCTCCTACCCAGCCTATTTCCAGAGTTGTTCCTGCCCTCATCCCCCATTTACTCTTTGCCCCCTCCCCACACTAACTCCCTGATAGACCATCCTGACCAACCCTCCCTCCTTAGTCCTTCCTTTGGGCAGGGAAGATATTGTGGTTCCTACTCATCTTGTGCACCCCTGCCCCAACCTATGTCTTCTGTAAACCTCTCTGGTCTCTCTAGTCCCTCCTTCTTGGTTCTTCTTCACCTTCCTGGACAGGTAGTGGCTCCTGGGGCTTCACTCTAACTCCCCACCAATTTTTCCCAGCCTTTTTTGAAAACAAGTCCGTTTTCAGGGTTGCCAAATTTAGTAAGTGAGAAGACAAGAAAAGGGGCTGAGGATGTAGGTCAGTGGTAGAGCACTTGTCTAGTATGCTGGAGGCCCTGACTTTGATCCCTAGCCTCACAATAAACAAACAAACAAGCCAGGAAGAGGTCACCACACTGCAGGGAGCCCTGGCCCCAGTTGGAGACAGAAGAGCCCCTAGAACAGGACAAGTTACTCATTTATGGGAATAAGTAGCTCTCACAGTGGTCAAGAGAGCATCACCATTCCATAGTCCAGGCAGGGAAACTGAGGTGTACAGAGCATCTCACATAGTTCCTTGCAGAGAGCCTCCCTCAGGCCCCAGTGCTCTCCTGTCCCTACCTCAGTCTCTAGCCTGCCTGCTGAGCAGGTCCTGGACAGCAGACTCTGATGCAGGCAAGTCTCACCGAGACCTGTGAGACAGAGTATAGACTCACCCGTATGATGCGGATTCTGCTGTGGGCAGTATCCAGGGTGTCATAGAAAGCCTTCACCACATTTTGGAATTCCTTGGTGCTCTCTTCCAGGCCCTCCAGCTTTCCCAGTGGCCTTTTCAGCCTCTGTTCTAGCACTGATATGTAGAAAGAAAGGACATCAGGGCCATGCTTACACACTAGCCCAATAGTCAGCCACCTGCCCTCTCCTAGTCCAAAGCACAGACTCACAAGTAGTGTCTGAAGCCACCAAGGGAAAGGCCAAACTCTGATCCCAGGGGCCAGCAAGTAGCACAGCGAAGTGGCGTGCCGCACGGGCAGGTTGGGCTCCAAAGCCACAAAAGACAGTGCAATCACCACGCAGGGCAACATTCACACCATGGCACTGCCCCAGGCGAGCACACAGCTCTGTGGGCAGCACACGGCCTGGGTGTCTCACAGTCTCCTTATTCAGGTGTACCTCCAAGGCAGCTGTTAATGCTTGTTCCAACTCATCTATATCCTGCTCAAAGGGTGCATGCACCACCAACTGGGCCCCACTACCAGTTCCTCCATTCAGGGACTCTTCTGCTTCCAACAGGGGTTGCTCCAAAAGGGAGAGGGCCAGGGCTTGTCTTAGTGCAGCAGCTTCCTCCTGCTCAGCAACCTTGTCTTGAGGCTCCAGTGACCGATGGAGGGCCAGTTGCAGTGCAGCTTCCTCCTCTAGCTGCCCAGCTGCCCCAGTGCTGAGGCTCACAGGCTTCTCCCCAGCCCCAGGTGTGGGTTCTTCATCCTCCTTCCCTGAAGTTGCTGCCTCTTCTGGCTGGTCCTCAGGTCCCTCCTCTCCCAGCTCCAGGGACAACCAGTTCTCCCTATCGAAGCCTTCCATGGTTGCCAGCAGCTCTCGGACTTCCTCTGAGGGTAGGGAGAGAACACTGGGTCATGAGTCAGGTCCAGCCAGGATGGTATTGAAAAACAGGATGAGATGGAATGGATGAAAGATGGAGTGAGTTTGAGGGTAGAGGATGGGCCTGGGAAGGGTCACTAGAGAGGTAAGAGTTCAGAGCAAGGCAGAGAGCAGGGTCAAAAAAGGACCACAGGACATGCTGGGGGCCCCTACCAGGGAGCCCTACCCAGGCTCATGTTCTCCTGGTCACTGCCTGTACTATCTGTGGGCCACCAGGTATGGCTGTGGCCAGGGAGGACCTGAAGGATCTCAGTGGAATCCACCTGTGGGGAAAGGATATCAGGGTCACTAGCCTTTGGGCAAGGGAGAGGGGGTACCTGGAGCTGGAGAGTAAGACAGGAGAGAGATAGGGAAGAACTTCATCTCTACCTCTTCAGGGTCCATGACCAGGTTGGCACTGGCCAGACGCTCTGTCCCAAAGACACACTGGAACTGAGCCTCCAAACCCTGCAAAAGGTGCTGCCCCTCCACACCCAGCAGGAACCTGGCACTGCCTGGGTGCTTCAGGCTCAGCACATGGCAGCTGATGCTACCCAGCAGACTCTGCAGCAACTCCTGGGCCACCTGGCATGAGGCCTGGGCTCCACAGAGCTGCAGGACCATGAGAGAGGAACAGTATGCAGATTCAGGGTACAGGAAAGGTACCCAGAGCCCCAGTGGGAAAAGGAGGCAAAAGCGAGGAATTTCTATGGGTCACTCACCCGAAAGCCAGTCACCTCCATTCCTTCAAGTGGGAAAAGAGCGACATCTCCCAGGCTGGCAAGAAGGTCCTCATGATAAAGCTGTAGGAAGCGCATAGCTCCTGGCTCCATCGATAACACCATCTCTACCAGGCCCTCCTGACCCTGAAGCCCCATATGCCCAGGGCTCTTCACCCCAACCTTCTCTGCAGATTCCAGGGCAATCTCTTCTGGACCCACCAGCCCCTCCTGACCTGGTGAGCCCCTGGCAACTTCCACCAGGCTCTCCTGTGCCAGAAGCCCCATGGGTCTCTGGCCCTTGAGCTTCACTTGTCCCAGCAACTCCATAGAGACCTCCACTGGGCCCACTGAGCCTGCAGACCCCATAGGCCCCAGACTCATGAGCCCAGCCTGCTCTGGAGACCCCACAGTCCCCAAGCTCACAGGCCCTTCCTGCTCCAGAGATCCCACAGGCCCCTCTTGCTCTGGACATCCCACGGGATCCAAGCCAACTGGCACAGCCTGAAGACCTGTCCTCAGAAAGGCTTCCAATTGCCCTGGTGCCTCCCCAGAACCCACAGTCACAGCCCCTGCACACTTCAGGGTTTCTGCCAGCCCTCTAGTCTCCAGGAGAGCATGCTCAGATCCCAGCATGGATGGGTTATCCTTTCCTTTGGTGCCCTCAGCAAGCTCCTCAGGCTCCAAGATGTCATAGTGGGGGACAAGTTTCAGCTCTGAGCCCTGCAGCCAGTGGTCCTGCTGCAGCACCCGTTCAGCCACTTGGAGGAAAGAAGACAGAAAGCCTATCAAGTTTTTGTGAAAGAGGAAGGGTCCCATGTGTCTGCCCAGCCCACTCACCCTGCCACTGCTGGAAGGAGACAACAGTGCCCAGCTGTCTCGGCAGGCTGCGCAGGCCCTCCAGGGGCCCCCCACCACTGCGGCGCTCATTCTCCAGGTACAACTCTAGCAGCAGCATGTCCAAAGGGGGTGTGCCCCTCACCACACGCACAGCTCGGGCCTGAGGCACCCAGGTCACTGACACCATAGCCCCATCCAGGTCCGTATTCCGGGCCTGTTCCTCCAGGACATGAATTTCTGTGGGAAGGGTGCAAGTCAGCTTGGTGTACCTCCCCTAACCAGCACCTCAGCCCCATTCAGGCCTCTCACCTGCCTCAGAAAGGGGCATGGCCAGCTGGACCAGGGCCCGATCAGGCCTGGGACTGGCCAGGGCATGGCAGGACTGCACTGGGTGCCCCATGGCACTCAGCAGGGCCTGGACATGCTGCTCCAGGCGCAGTGGCACAGTGCCAGGTGGTAATCCTTGGAGAAGCAGACGTGCAGGGGCGCGTGGTGGAGCTGGGTGCAGGCTCAGTCTGGCACCATGTAGTCGGTGCTCTGCCTGGGCCAAGACCCTTTTGGCATCTGTGAGCAGGGGTGGGACGTCAGTGTCATTAGGGTATCAGGGTTCCCAGGCTGCCCCCTTTAGCCAGCTCCCTCACCTGCAGGCTCTCGAAAGGTAAGGATACCCCCACAGCCAAGTCTCTGCCAGCTCAACACAGGCCCCCCACCGGAGCGCCGGCGGTTCTCAAAGTACAGCATGAGCAGTTCCTCTGGCATGTCAGGGGGAAGTCCCTGGAGCTCTACCGCTGCCCCTTCCTCCACCTCAGCCATCAAAACCCTGGGATGGAACAGACAGGGAAGAGGCATGTTCCACCCCTCCTGCTCCCGCCCTGGGTCCCTCCCCCATAACCCCTCGGTGCTGCCTCATCATGGGTGGCCCCATATTCCACACTTACAATCCTCCTGCCACCCAAGCCTTCAACCAGGACTCCTGTGACTGCCTTCTGCAGCCTTCCGGCAGAACAACAGAAACCCAGTGAAAACAAAAGTGAAACTGACTGAGGGAAGGAGAAAGGGTGGGGCATGCCTGGCTCTGGGGACTGGCCACTGTGTTTTAGATGCTTCCTCTTCAGCTGAAGCCTCAACCCCAGCCCACCAGGAGGTGTTGGTGGGACAGACCCCCTCAGAACCCTCCTGCCAGCCTGCCCACTGGCCTCCAGGGCCCATTGCAGCCCCTGGCTAGCAGAGAGGACAGGGATGTCCTCTGGCCATCTTCCCTTTTCCTATGGCCTGGGAATGGCCAATCACCCTCTCCATTAAATGTACCAAGGGGCCCGAGTCACTATTCTCCATTCAGAGTCTTCAGGCCTCTCTCTCAGCAACCTTCCCAAAGTGGTCCTTCATACCCACTAGGCAACCAGACCTCCTCCAAGTGCTGAGAGTGAGCAGCTCTGCCCTTGACTCTAACATAGTTCCTGCTGCCTTCTCACTCCCTGCTGGAGCCCCTTCCTGTGGCTCTCTCCAGCCTTCACACATGTCTAGTCCTTCCCATATATTACATCATCATCATCATCATCGCCCACTCCTTCTCGTGACTAGCCATAGAAGATGCAGGCACTATGTGGACATGCCTGGCTGCCTCTAATCCTCACTACAGGAGAGGAAATGGAGGCACTGTCAGGGCCCAGGGCAATGCCAGGCCTCACAGCCAGTTTGGATCTTTAGTCCACACTCCTATCCCCTGCCAATCCCCCCATATCTGATCCAATTTTCTGCCAGCCTTCTCAAGATTGTACCCACTTCTGATCTCTACCCTCACTTCCCAGTCACCCCAGCCCCACCCCTGCTAGTCCTCTAGGGGGCCAAGGCCCTACCCAGCCTGCATGCCTAGCCCTACACACCTGGCACCTCCACTGCTCCACCTAGGTCTCTTGCTGCACAGCTACCTGCCCACTCCATAGTGGATAATCCACAGAGTGGGCAGGGTGAACCTGTAAAGTGGTAACAATGGCTGCCACAGTTCTCAGGCTTGATGACAGTAAATGCTAAAGTTCTTTTGAGGGCCTAACTGGCCTTCAACCATTCTGATGATGCTCAGTGGGTCCAGCCTCCCTGGTCTCAATTCTTCTGGAGCTATAGGCCACTCGCACCTCAGCACCCCCGCACTGGTTCTTCCTTCTGTGTGACAGGGCCTTACCCACAAACCCAGTGGTCATCCCTTCTCCCTGATCGCTCTTACCTGGCTCCTACTGGCAGATTTAATGAAGCTAAAAACCCTAAAGCATTCTGACTTGCCTAGGCTCCTGAAGTCCTGAACTCTACCACAAATTTGTCATTTTATTTTCCTTAAGGAAAGTCACTCAAATTGTGTGAGCTTCTGGTTCTACAAAATTGAAGTTCAGTGCATGCCTATAATCCCAGTGGCTCAGGACACTAAGACAGGAGGATCATGAGTTCAAAGCCAGCCTCAACAACCTAGCAAGGTGCTAAGCAACTCAGAGAGACCCTGTCTCTAAATAAAACACAAAACAGGGCTGGGGATGTGGCTCAGTGATTGAGCGCTGGAGTTCAATCCCCAGAACCAAAAAACAAAACAAAACACTGAAGTTCATGCAGCCTGCTGAACATTTTCTCTTCTATAGGACTCATCACCTTCTAACATACTGCACATTACTTATGGACAGTGCCAATCCCAGCTGCAGAGGTCTGCCACAAGCAGTGGTGCACTGGAATTGCTCACACGGTTGCCTCATTATTAAATCTTGAGGAATTTCTGTGAAGTGTTGTTAAACTGGTGGTAGCTTGAAATCGATCATAGTGGGAATATTTACACCGTATTTTGTGCTGGCATGTGCACAAGCTACAGATCAGGGCTTCCCCTCACTAGAACCAGTTGTTAAATACTGAGCGAGCACATAGTGGGCACAGGAGAGAGCCTTCTCCCAACCACTGACCACCCTGGGAGGGGCCAGACACCCAAGAGCAAGGAAGCACAGGAAGGTCCCCAGTCAACTGGCCCCAAGTCAATCTGCCTGCTGCAGAGGACCAGAAGTCCACCAGGGGAAGTCCTGTTGGCAGAGTCAGGACTTTCAGAAGGAGGACTTTCAGAGCCAAGACAGGCGTTAACCTAGCCTCCAGTCCTGCTGTGCATTTCAGCCTCAGCCTCTTCACAGGTCATGAGGCCGCCTATGGTGCTTGGCAGTTTGGTCTCCATGACTGGCAGACTGAATGGGGCAATTAAACGGTTAGGTGTGTTGGTTTGAAAAGTCTTGGATGAAAAAGTAAAATGAACACTGTGTTTAAGGCAAAGAAGCGAAGGAGAGAACTTGGAGGCTTCAGCAAATCCAGGATGTAGAAATCAATTTCTTAACTCCCTGTACAAGGAGCTAGAACAGGCCCCTGCCTCCGGGGGTTTTCAGCTCTCACGGCCCGACCCCAGTCCTTGGCGGAATGTGGGACGAGAGCCTCTGGCCTCAGGCCTGGGCGTTGACTGCTCGGCGGCCAAGAGCAGCGGTCAGATGCACTGTCGCGGTCCGCCGCCGCCGCGCAGACGCCGGGCATTCCCAGGCCCGGCCCCTCAGAAGGCCCCGCCCCTGGCCCGTCACAAGGCCCCGCCCCGTCACAAGGCCCGGCTGCGTCTCCCCAGCCGCAGGCGCAGGCCCAGCGGAGCTGGCCGCTCAGCGGGTGCGGGTGCGGGTGCGGACGCACCGGCCATCACCGCGCGGCCGAGCAGCCGACACCGTGCTCACCTGAGGCGCCCCGGGAGCGGTGAGTCCCAAGCCCCAGCGCAAGAATGTGCCTGACCCGCGGCAGCTGCCCCCGTGTATCCCTGCGCAGCTTAGTAATGCCGCTTTCGGTCTGTCAGTCCATCGGTCCAGGCAGGGCGCGCGGCCCGCTCTGCCCGGGATGACGGCGGCAGTGGGGGCGGGGAGCTGCGGTGGCCCTAGCTGGAGGGAGGGGGCGGCGCGCTGCGGCGGGGGCAGGACCCGCCTTCCCGAAACGCTCTGACCCAACCGGAGGGCCCACCCGCCCACGGTACGGTCCTGTGGCAGCCCCCAACCCCCGTCGCCCCCACGCCTGCTTTGTTTCCCCGCACGCCCTCTGCTCGCTTCCATCCCCCACACACCCCCGCACCCCGCTGTTCCTAGCGTACCCCACTGGCAGTCACCCCAGCAGCCAATCCACGCCTGCTCCCTTCCCTGGGAGCGAGGGACAGTCGGGGCCCGCACTTGGGAGGGGGGTCAGGGCTCCGTGGGTCACAGATGGTGTGGGGATTTCCAGGGATAGAAATAGCCGCCGGCTCTAACCCCTTCAAGCTGCTTAAGGGGCGGGATGCGGAGGGGAGGGCCCAGGCACACCCCACGCATCCTCAGCCGCACCCCCAACCCCCTTGCAGCTGAGCTCTGACCCCAGGACGCTGGCGGCCGTGACAAGGCTCCTCCAGAGTCCCAGATCCAGAGGCTGACAGCCATTTCTTCCCCCCTCCTCTCCTCATCCGTACCCTCCCCCATCTCCAGGGTTGGCCTAGTACTGACCCTTCTGAAAGCCCATTGCCTTCCGGTCCCCAGCCGCTCTGGCCCCAGGCCTCCAGGACTCCTACAGGCCAGAGCAAGGGTCATGCACCCTTCCTTCCTCCTGGGTTCTCGGCATCAGGTGGGGCTGCCACAGGCCTGGTTCCAGTGACCGTCAGTCAGGGCTGATCGTTCTCTCTCTCTCCTCTAGGGGCAGCCGGCAGAACGGAAGGCCATGTCCCATGAAAAGAGTTTTTTGGTGTCTGGGGACAACTACCCTCCCCCCAACCCTGGATATCCTGGAGGGCCCCAGCCTCCCATGCCTCCCTATGCTCAGCCTCCTTACCCTGGGGCCCCTTACCCACAGCCCCCTTTCCAGCCTTCCCCCTATGGTCAACCAGGGTATCCCCAAGGCCCCAGCTCCTACCCCCAAGCGGGCTACCCTCAGGGTCCCTACCCCCAAGGGGGCTACCCTCAGGGCCCCTACCCTCAAGGAGGCTACCCCCAAGGGTCTTACCCACAGAGCCCCTTCCCTCCCAACCCCTATGGACAACCACAGCCCTTCCAGTCACAGGACCCTGACTGTGAGTGATGGGGAAGGCTGGGGGGCAGGGGCAAGGGTAGAGCTGCTCTGCAGTGGCACTGACCCAGCCCCTGTGTCCCCAGCGCCACAGCTTGGAAACTATCAGGAGGAGGGGCCCCCATCCTACTATGACAACCAGGACTTCCCTTCTGCCAACTGGGACGACAAGAGCATCAGGCAGGCCTTCATCCGCAAGGTAGGGCCTTCTCTGTGGGGTAGGGAGCCCTGGGGTAGCTGGGGGTGGAGCTCTGACTTGCTACCTCCCCAGGTGTTCCTGGTGCTGACCCTGCAGCTGTCAGTGACCCTGTCCACAGTGGCTGTGTTCACTTTTGTTGGGGAAGTGAAGGGCTTCGTCCGGGAGAATGTTTGGACCTACTATGTCTCCTACGCCATCTTCTTCATCTCCTTGATTGTCCTCAGCTGTTGTGGGGACTTCCGGCGAAAGCATCCCTGGAACCTTGTGGCACTGGTAACCCCCAAACATGAGCCCAGGCCCCTGAGGCCTATGGAGAAGTGGAGGGCAGGGACCTGGGGTGTGGTTGGGAGCAGCTCTGCACACCCAGGGTGGGGTGTTGTCTTCTTCTCCCACAGTCAGTCTTGACCATCAGCCTGTCCTACATGGTGGGCATGATAGCCAGCTTCTATAACACCGAGGCGGTCATCATGGCTGTGGGCATCACCACAGCTGTGTGCTTCACAGTAGTCATCTTCTCCATGCAGGTGAGGACCTTCACCCATTCAGGGTTGTGGCCCTGGGGCCCATTGGCCTTCCCAGGGCCCAGCACCCACAGTCTCCTGTTCCTCTCTGTCCTCCCAGACCCGCTATGACTTCACCTCATGCATGGGCGTGCTCCTGGTGAGCATGGTGGTGCTCTTTATCTTCGCCATCCTCTGCATCTTCATCCGGAACCGCATCCTGGAGATCGTGTATGCCTCGCTGGGCGCTCTGCTCTTCACCTGTGTGAGTGAGGGGGTAAGAGGCCATGGTTGAGGGGAAACTGGGTGGGTGGGGGGCTGTCCCTCAGCAACACTGTGTTGTCGTCCTCAGTTCCTGGCAGTGGACACACAGCTGCTGCTGGGGAACAAGCAACTGTCCCTGAGCCCAGAGGAGTACGTGTTTGCAGCACTGAACCTATACACAGACATCATCAACATCTTCCTGTACATTCTCACCATCATTGGCCGCGCCAAGGAGTAGCCTGTTCCCCCAGCTTGCTGTGCCCTGCTCAGGTGGCATGGCTGGCCTGGACCCTGCCCCTGACATGACAAGGCCACCTGTACTTCCCTCTCTCTGGTCCCAGACACAGCCTAGGGCAGGGGGAATCCCCTCTCCAACCCTCCTGTATGTATACTGCAGATACTTCCGTTTGGACCCACTGTGGCCACAGCATGGCCCCTTTTAGCCCTCCAGCCCCACCCAAGGGGCAGTAGGGCTGCGTTTCTGTGCCACCTCCTGTTGACTCATTGTTGCATGAGCCCCGTCTTCCAGCCCACCCCAGGGTCTGGGGGCAACACCAGGTCCCAGGGGAGAGGGATTGAGCCAAGAGGTGAGGGTGCACGTCTTCCCTCCTGTCCAGCTCCCCAGCCTGGCATAGAATATTCCTTTTCCCTCCCCACCTCCACCTGGAGCATTGCTCTCAGGGACACACAGGTTGGGGGTCTCTGCTGAGCCCTGAGAGCAGAGAAGATGGCATGTTTCAGGAAAGGAGGAAGCCTTCCTCTCGTCCTGCTGTCATTAAAGTTCCAATAAATGGGATCTTCTGCTCTCTGCTTCTCATCTCTCTTCTCACTGCCAATTCCTCCGTGATGTGAGAGCTGCAGGCACCCTAGCTGATGAGGGGCACAGAAGAGGCCTTAACAGAGGTTTAGGATAGGAACTAACACAAGCTTTTAAGAAGTATACTGGGATTTCAGCTGATGAACAGAGACCCTGAGGCAAGGTGTGGTACCAGGTCACACAATGGGAAGTGCTTCTGGAAAGGATACAGTGTAGCAGTGGCCCCATGAGCCCAGGGGCCATCAGCACAGGTGACTGATACACCTGGCAGAGAGCTACATGGAGACTGAGGCCTTGGCATCATCTGGCACCTGACCTGGTCCCTTCAAGAGCCCCCAGCCTCAGCCTGTTCTGCATGCCTCTCCCTGCTCTCACCCACCAACCCACCCTGAGCTGGGCTATGCATCCCAAGTGAGCCAGCTGTCCAGATCTGCACGATCCCCACAGAAGGTGGTTCAATGCCTGGAGTCCAGCCCTGTCTGAACCCTACTGGGCTTCTGAGCTCTGGGGCTGAGGCACCCTTGGCCACTGTGGCCTTCCTCCTCAGACTCTACATCCAGGTTGGCAGGAGAATCTCTTCTTGGGGATATTCCTCCTCCCCACCAGCCTGTCTGCAAACTTGCTTAACTAGTACCAGTACTTCAGATACATTAAGGGACCTACACACCATAAGCCACCCGATGTTCACAGAGCACACAGCTGTGTGCACCACACAGAGCCATGTGCACCCTCCCTGAAACCTGCTGTTCCTGTATTATCTCCCCAGGCCAGAAGCTGCTGTCCTCCTCCTCCATCACTGCTCTCCCTATCAACCTTCCACTGCTTTGTTCAGGCCTCTTCATGCCTACCAATCCTCCAAGCCAGCAGGTATACACTTCTGAGATGTGGATCACATAGTCCACCTGCCTAAGACTCTACCAGGGCCACCCTCAGGATGAAGTCCACATTCCTTAGCTTGGTACCTAGATCCTGCCTTCTGCCCACCTGCTCTCTGGCTCTCAGCTCAGTCCCAGCCCTGACCTTGTGCAGAACTGTCATTGTTCATAGCCCTCTGCCAAGGCATGGATGCACACTGCCTTTCCAGTTGCCAAGATGCAGCAGGTAAAGCAGCTCTCTTACCCAGCCTCCCTTTCTGGCATTCCCTTAAGCAAGTCCAGTTACTCCTCCAGGGATGCTGGTGAGAAGAAATCTGCTCAGTATTAGCTCACATACAGACCCCTCAGATTACACTAAAGAGGAAATATAGATCATCCCTTGGCTAAAGAGAAAGTCAGTGGGGTAGGAGATCCTCTGAGCAAAACATGCAAGGCAGTATTCTCAAAAAGTTCAAACTTTTCAAATTCTTGGCTGGGGGAAGAGGTCTTTCTAGAAACCACTGTGAGTCTAGAGGTGTCTGCCAGGACTCGGGGGCCAGGCAATCCAGAACAAAGACTTTACTGTAAGAAGTTCAGGGTCAAAGAGGGAGTGCTTGGGCCTGTCCTATAGGTAAGGAATGAGCCATAGCCTCCTCCAGGTTACCCAACTTGGGATGGTGTTCAGGAAGACAAGCCCAGAAATAGGATGTACAGGAAGTCTGGAGCTGAAGACAGGTGAAGAAAGCAAAGAGGAGGAGCTACAAGCAAATAATCTCAGAGGCATCAGGAGTCGGCTCAGCTGCAAAGGGATCAAGCTGAGCATGCAGGGCAAGGGGAGCAGGGGCAAAATAGAGACAATCAAGTGAAATAAGGAATCCAAGCACCTGGGCTGGGCAGACGAACAGGTAGAAGGTGCTCACGTTGATGCATGAAGCTAAATGGAACCATAGCAATTGTCAACACAATGATTTCTCAGGTAAGAAAGAAAAGCAGTTCTCCACACCAAAGAGCTGGCCTGGTCCTATCTGCAAGGACATGGTGCTGTTAGAAGCTGAACTGGTACTCACAGATAGAGCCCTTAGTGCTGTTAGGAGCTGGCCTGGCACTCACAGATAGTGGCCTTGGTGTGGTGTTCTACTTAAAATATAAATAATTTCACAGAATATCAATAACACACAAGGCCTCTGTTACCATGACGAATCATGACAAAAATAAGATCCCTCTCATGTCTAAACACAGACAAAACACAGGCATTGTCCAAGCCATACAAGTCTTAGAAGCACCCTAAGCTGGCCAGGCTGAGTGACTGCTACCCCCTCACAACTGACAGCTTTAGCTTCACTGCAGTTTATCTTTCCAGATAAAGAGGTATTGAGACACCAGGTACAGAATGACTGAAACCTTCCTCCAGGTTACCCAACTTGGTCCTGTGGGACTTCCTGTAAGGAAGTCCTTTCTAACCCTAACCATGACTCCACATGGCTCTACGTAGTATACATTTGCCCTTGCCTCTGGGAGCAGTAAGTAGTCCAACTTGTTCAACTATAGGTGGATGCCCAAGTGGGGTTTCACTGGAAACTGTTGGCACAGTTAACTGTACTCAGGCCAAAGAAGGTGAGTTTATTTTTCAATTAAAAAAGCACTTATTGGGGCTGGGGTTGTGGTTCAGTGGTACAGCGCTTGCCAAGTATGCGTGAGGCACCGGGTTCAATCCCGGCACCATAAAAATAAAATAAAGTATTGTGTCTATCTACAACTAAAAATAAATATATTTTTTTAAAAAGCACTTTTTGGGCTGGGGTCAATGGTAGAATACTTGCCAGCACCTGTGAGGCACTGTGTTTGATCCTCAGCACCACATAAAATGTAAGTATTTTTTTTTTTTTTTAATTTTGTAGTTGTAGATGGACAGAATGCCTTTGTTTTATTTATTTATTTATTTATATGTGGTGCTGAGGATCGAACCCAGGGCCTCAGACATGCTAAGCAAGTGCTCCACCACTGAGCCACCACCCCACACCATAAGTATTTTTTAAAAAAGCACTTATTTACATAAGTCATAATTAAATCTTTTTTTTTAAAAAAAAAAAAGAATAAACAATACCAGTATCTAAGGAATACAATGTTCACATCTCCATCACATTTCCCACCCTCCTGAGCAATACTATCATTGGGAGCCTGGTGTTGTAGTGCACACCAGTAATCCCAGTAACTCAGGAGTCTGAGGCAAGAGGATCATAAATTCAAAGCCAGCCTCAGCAACTTAGCAAGGCCCTTGGCAACGTAGTGAGACTGCCTCAAAATTTAAAAAAAAAGGAGGGGGGTGGGGATCTTGCTCAATGGTTAAGCAACTCTAGGTTCAATCCCCAATATTAAAAAAAAAAAAAAAGCCAGGCATGGTAGTGCATGCCTGTAATCCCAGTGGCTTAGGAGGCTAAGGCAGGAGGATTGTGAGTTCAAAGCCAGCCTCAGCAAAGTGAGGCACTAAGCAACTCAGTGAGACCCTGTCTCTAAATAAAATACAAAATAGGGCTGGGGATGTGGCTAAGTCAGTGGTCTAGTGACCCTGAGTTCAATCCCCAGTACCAAAAAAAATAAAACACTGTGGGGCCAACTCTGGACCTTAGCTCCATGATATCAGTGCAGGTCCTCTTTGCCATTTCTCTGGCTCATCAGGGCTACTGTTCAGCATATGTGGATTGGAAGCATCTTCAGGATAAAGACTGTGATCTGTGAATTTCAACACCCACCTAGCACCTAGTCCCAGATCTGGCATACCACAATGTTAAACATGGAATGAATGAATGAACTTTACATGGGATGAGCCACACAAGCACCAACCAAATCAGGACCAGAGACAGAGAAGGCTACAGACTTCTGGACTTTGGCTTGGCATCACCACCAGTAGGGAGGCATCTCAGGATTAAGGGCAGCAAACTAAAAGCCTTAGGAGATGTGTGAGGCACACTGGTGGGAACTGGAGGTAGGAGGAGGAAAGGATGCATGGGGGAGGAACAGGTGGTTGAGTAGGTGAGTTGAGGGCAGATATGCACAGTCTAAGGCGTATTTTGCAGGTAATGATGAACCTGAAGTGGTCTAAGCAGAGGCAGGGAAATCAGTGAAGATTACGGTGATGGTATAAGCAGGAAGAACTTGCTCTCAGGGACAAGGGGGAGGTGGAAGCAGGGGATCTGATGCAGGCTCCCAAGGTGGCCCCTTCCTCAGTGTGACCCAGATGCTGCTTCCCATGCAGAAGTATGACTTGGCCTATTCTGAGACCAAAATACTTGACAGATGTTTCTTGACTGTCTACCTAGTCTCAGCACTGTAGAATATTGAACACCTTTCAGGAGGTCCCAAATGTAATGCCTCTTTTCCCTTTAACCTCTTGACGCACTTTGCTCCATTGTCCACATCTCCCCATTTGTGGGGAGCCACATTGAGTTCCCTCGCCTTCCATCATGGAAATCTGAAAGATCTTGTGACTCGGTCTTTTCCCCTGCTCGGATAGCAAGGCCAGTCTTCTGAGTGGGCATAACCCTGGGTATGAGCCACACTCACCTATTCTATTATAATCCTACCCCTTTGCCCTGTTTGGGATAGAATGTTCCATGGAAACTCCTTTTGTGTGTCCTCTTCTCTTGCTCTGCCTTTGGGTGTGGCCTTCCTAGATGTCAGTCAATCTGCTGACAGCAGACATCATGAAGCTAGACTCAACTCCCCCAAAACCTGACCCCTTGCCTCATTTGAATGGCTTCCCCCCAATAAAAAGGTTCAGCCCGTGCGCATGCGCTCTCTTTCTTTCCACAGATGCCTAAGGTCAGCGGAGCCATCACAGGACCCAAAGAAAAAGGTATCTCTGTCTCTTGTGTGATTATTTCATGCAGCCCAGTTCCCCTGGAGTGACCCTGAGTGTTTTAGTCCTGAGAAACGTGACACCCATTGCTACCACTTCCAAACCTTGAGACTCTTGTGCAACTCCTTCTTCATACTCTCCTTCATTCTACTCTGGCCAGCTTTTCACTGTTATCCAGAAGCTTCCTGGTTCTGGGAGGACTCTACTAATAGGATCAGAACACTCCACTTTGTCCCAACTATCATGATCCTTGGGCATTCAAATTCTATCTTCTGAACACCTCTCAGATCTATGCCTTTCTCTCAAGTCAAGGCCCTGATCAATTCTATGGCAGCTCCTAATACCAAAGACAAAGGGATCTTTCTGAACTCAAGATAGTCACTCCCCTGTTTAAACTCCTTTGGAGACTGCAGACAAAACAGTGGACTAAACTGATCTGGGATTCCAACTCCCACTCTCAACATCTAAAATTGCTAGATAAAACATCCAAACACACATAGCTGAACTGCAGTCATGAAATAAATGTCAAAAGAGAGCAAAGAAGAGTGGCACATGCTTATAATCCCAGCTATTTGGGAGGCTGAGGCAGGGGGATTGAGAATTTGAAGCCAGTCTTGGCAATTTAGTCAAAAAAAATAGTGGCAGGGGAGTGGGGAGTGCTGGGAATATAGCTCAGTGATAGAGCATGGGCACAGCATGCATGAGGCCAGGAAGTTTATTTCAGGAATTCAAGTAGATTTTGATATTCAAAAATCTACTTGTAACAATATTAACAGAAAAATGGGAGAATCATATGATCATTTTAAGAAAAAGCATTTGGTCAGTTCTACTACTCATCTGTGATAAAAGCAAAATACTCTTAACAAATTAGAAAGAGATAAGAATTTCCTTAACCCAACAAGAAATAGTCTATAAAATTCCTACAGCAAATATCATACTTAATGGCAAATTATTGACAGCTTTTTCCTTAAGACTGGAATGAGATAAGGGTATCTCCTATCACTCCTTCAAGTCAACATTATATTGAAGATCTTACCAGTGCAACAAGAAAAACAAAATGAGGTAAAGATTATCATAAATGTTATTAACAAAACAAACAGACACAACAAACTATATACAAGGGAAGATTGATTATATTGACAGATTCATCAACAATAAAAGCTGGATGAATTAAGGTATTCTTGTGCAACTCCTTCTTCATACTCTCCTTCATTCCACTCCATTTAATGGTATATATTTGTTTTTATAGTTAGTAATACATTGACATGGTTCAAGTTCAGGAAATATGAAAGATTGGGCCAAGCGTGGTGGCACACACCTGTAATCCCAGTGGCTTAGGAGGCTGAGGCAGGAGGATCAGAGTTCAAAGCCAGCCTCAGCAAAAGCAAAGCACTAAGCAGCTCAGTGAGACCCTGTATCTAAAATATATAAAATAGGGCTAAGGTTGTGGCCCCTGAGTTCAACCCCTGGTATACCTTCCCCCCAAAAAAGAAAGAAAATATGAAAGATTTACTATGAAAAGACCCTCTTCTGCTGGGCACAGTGCCCCACACTTGTAATACCAATGACTCATTCGTAAAGCTGTCCCAGCCCAAGTACTAAATGCAGTCCCTGGAGCCTGGGAAGTCTTTAGTGAGGGCAGAGGAAAGTGGCAGATGACAGAAGGCCCTAGTTTAAGGAGTCTGAGGAGCTTTTATATCCAGTTCAGCCTTCCACTGAATGTGCAGGGTTGGGAGTGTAAGGTCACTACAGGTTGGACAGACTCACCTATGGAGCAGGGATAAATGACACCTACTCTTGGTTTGTCTTCAGGGTCAGATATAAGTTATCAGTGCTGAATGAACACCTGGTTATAATTAATGGACCTTCAAGACCCAGGCTCTTCACTTGCCTCCCCAGGACTGTAGAGGAAGAACTGCTGATTTTTGTTTTTGGGGGTTTTTTTGGTGATGGGGATTAGAACCCAGGGCCTTATGCATGCAAGGCAAGCACTCTACCAACTGAGCTATATCCCCAGCCCAGAAGAACTACTTTAATGCAAAAAGGTTCAAAGCCTATACTCACTCATTCTGATCAGATCACCAAGTTGAATCCCAGATATAGGGATTGGGCTGGGGATGAAGCTCTGTAGTAGAGTGCTTGACTACCATGCACAAGGCCCCTGGTTCAATCTCCAATACTGCACAAAGAAGAAGAAGAAAAACAAAGAACAGACATCAGGATTGGCACAGGATCAAAAGGCATGGAAGTTCCTAATGAAAATTGCTTTGGAAAGGTCTATTCTGATTCAACTGTGCTAAGGGTTAGGGAAAGGGAAAACTCACTCAGGATCAGGCTGTACCTGAGATAGCCCTGCCAATTCTGCCCCTGGCTATGGGGGCCAGGAGGGGAGTGATCACAGTACCAGGTCAGGCCCAGTGTCCCAGCATTAGAGGCACAGACTCGGGGTGGGGCAGGCTCATGTGGTGCATGGGACATAGGGTGTCAGGGATAGTATACAGGGAGGAACTGGCATCCATAAAGTTATAAAGTCCAAGAGGCCTGGACTTCACCCTGAAACAGAGGAGGCAAGGGAAGTGGGCAGAGCCAAGCAGTGTCCATGCATTTGCCAAGATTCACCAAGAGCCTTTGGATAGGCTGATAATAGGCTTGAGGGACCTAACCAAGGCTACTCTCCTGCAGCCTTAGGACTCACCAATCATATAATTTTTTGAATCAGAGGAGTTCCTTCATATACTCAAAAGCCCCCAAGCCCTTCCATTTCCCTGGGTGTAAAATTCATAGTTCTTATCCCAGCCTACAGACCCCTACTCCAACTTCTCTGACTTGCTCCTCCCCTTTCCCCACGATTCCCCTCCATCTCATGGGCCTCCTTGATGGTCTCAAAAACACACCAAGCCTGCTCACAAGCCCCAGGGCCTTTCCACTGTTGTCCCCTCTATTCAGAAAGGTTGGGGTTTTTTCTCAGTTCTCTGTATCTTTTTTCAGGTCTCCTTCAAAAGCATTGCCTTGACAGGGAGGCCTTCCCAATAACTTTAAACAAACAACATTCTCCCTTCTTGCTTCCCTCATTCCCAGTTTAACCCTCCTCATGCTACCTCCCTCAACACCAACATTTTTCTTAATTTTTAAAAAAATATTTAATTTTTTAGTTGTAATTGGACACGATACCTTTGTTTTGTTTATTTACTTTTACGAGGTGCTGAGGATCAAACCCACGTACTAAGCACATGCTAAGCAAGTGATCTACCATTAAGCTACAACGCCAGCCCCAATACCAATATTTATCAACCTTTTATCTGTCCATTGCCCGTCTTCCAACTTGAATGTTGGCTCCATGTCAGCAGGCCTTTGCTGTTATTTTTTTGTGTTTTGGTATCGGGGATTGAACTCAGAAGCATTCAAACACTGACCACATCCCTAGCCCTATTTTGTATTTTATTTACAGACAGGGTCTCACTGGGTTGCTTTTGCTGAGGCTGGCTTTGAACTGGAAATCCTCCTGCCTCAGCCTCCCAAGCCACTGAAATTACAGTTGTGTGCCCCAGCTTGCTGTGTTCTTTGTACCAATAAGGGATGGATCCTGCTGCATAGAAATAACCAAACACACAGTCCTCAGTGGCCACAAGACAACATTGCTGCCCCATGTTCCACAGGAATAAGCTGAGGTATCATTTAGTCATAAGTCACCAGAACAGGTACCCTAGTTCAGGCCTGCTAGATCCCAGGCCCACCTAACCACTATGCCTTTTTCTCTGTCCACAACCCAGATCTTGTGAGCATCTCCCAGGCAGGAAATGCCTGGATGTATTGGAAAGTTCCCGGCAATATAAACAGAGAGAGAGAGAGACAGACAGAGAGACAGAGAGAGAGGATAGTACCCCAATTGTTGTACGTGCATTACTTTACCTGATACATGACCATATGAGGAAAGAGAGAATTAAAGGCCAGGGCTGGAGTGACATGGCTCTGAGATTAGGGTTTTGGAGTATCCTATGGATCAGATGTGTAGCTCTAAAATTCATATATTGAAATCTTTACCCCCTCTTTTACTCAGCTTTTTCACTGGTGTGACCAAAAACCTGACAAGAACAATTAGAGGAGAGAAAGTTCATTTGGGGGGCTCACGGTTTCAGAGGTCTTAATCCATGGATAGCCAGCTCCATTGCTCTAGGCCCAAAGTGAGGCAGAACATCATGGCAGAAGAGTGTGGAGGAGGAAAATTTCTCAAAACATTACACAAGGAAGCAGAGTCTTCTTACCAGTGACAAATATATATCCTAAAGGCATACCTAATGACCCACCTCCTCCAGCCACACCCTACCTGCCTATAGTTACCATCCAGTTAATCCCTGTCAGAGGATCAGGTTAAGTCTCATAACCCAATCATTTTACCTCTGGACTTTCTTGCATTGTTTCACACATGAACTGCTGGGGGACACCTCACATCTAAACCGTAATACCCCAGTGTTAAGGTATAGGAAGTAGGACCTTTAGGAAGTAATCAGGTGAAGAGTAGAGCCCTCATGAATGGGATTAGTGTCCTTTTTAGAAGACACCAGAAAGTTTGCTTCCTCCCTCTCTTTAAGCTCCACCATGTGAGAACACAAGAGCATGCAGCCATCTGTACACCAGCAGCAGGCCCTCACCAGACACCAGATCTGTTGGCACCTTGACCTTGGGCTTTTCAGTCTCCAAAACTGTGATAAATAGAGGTCTGTTGTTTAAGTTGCCTATTCTTTAGTCCTTTGTTATAGGTCTGAACTGAGACAAAGTCGGAGGGTATAGAACCCCAACCACACCTCTAGCAGGGTATGACATCATCCTAGTGTCCCCTCACAGAGCCTCCATGCTACCCTTCGTGGTTTTCAACTCTAACTTAGATGCTAGTCTCCGAGCTCTGCCCCTCCTTGCTGCCCTTCAAACACTGCTTTATAAAAAGCAGGGCTGGGGATGTAGCTCAGTGGGAAAGAGCTTGCCTACCATGTGTCAGGCCATGGGTTCTACCCCCAGTACTGGGGGTGGGGGGAAGGCAAGGAGCCAACAACACAGGGAAGTTACCCAGGTTCCAAAGCCTGACAGAGCCCTCCTGTCTCTGTCTTGGCATTAGTTCCTGATCCTTTAGGAGCATAAATGGTTGAACCTGGGGTTGATGACCAAGGTCATACTCCCAGAAGTCTCTGTTTCTAGCCAAGCCCTCATAAACCTTTCCTCTGAGGCCCCTCTTCCCAGTCCTAGCTGGCAGGGTCTCAGGTAGACAAGCAGATGCCCCCAACTCCTGGGAGCAATCTGCCTTCCCAAGCCCTATAGACTCATCAAGAGGAAAATGGAGCCAGGTGTGGTGGCAAACACCTGTGATCCCAACAGCTCAGGAAGCTGAGACAGGAAGGAAGACTGAGTTCAAAACCAGGCTGAGCAATGGCAAGGCACTTAGCAACTCAGTGAGACCCTGTCTCTAAATAAAATACAAAATAGGGCTGGGGATGTGCCTCAGTGGTCGAGTGCCCCTGAGTTCATTCCCCAGTATAACCCCCCCCCCAAAAAAAAAGAGAAACGCAGAGACTTGTCCTCAGACACTCAGAAGGCCAGTTAGCATCTTGCCTGTTCTTATAGTCAACATAATTTTTCAGCTTTTGTGGTGGAATTCTTTCAGAAAAAATAAAACAGGTTGAATGACAGTACATTTGTACACTTATTGAATATTTACTTTGTACCAAGACCTGTGCTGGGCTCTGGAACACAGAGGAAGATATGATGTGGGGCTGGGGCTGTAGCTCAGTGGTAGAGCATTTGCCTGGCATGTGTGAGGCACTGGGTTCAATCCTCAGCACCACATACAAATAAATAAATTAAATAAAGGTCCATTTACAACTAAAAAAATATTTTAAAAAAAGATATGATGTGGCCTTCATCCTCCTGGAATGTCACTGAATCTCTCCTCCAGGCAGAGTCTAGGTCCAATAGATCATGTCAAAATTATGTTCTCACCAATTGTGGTGGTGCACACCTGTAATCCCAGCAGCTCAGGAGGCTGAGGCAGGAGGACTGTAGGTTCAAAGCCATCCTCAGCGATTTAGTGAGGCTGTAAGCAATCTAGTAAGACCCTGTCTCTAAATGAACTATAAAAAAGGACTGGGGATATTGCTCAGTGTTTAAGCACCCTTGGGTTCAATCCCCA